CATTTAATATCTACAAAAATCTATCCATAACTATGAAAGACAAATGAAAATTTTTAATAAATGTGACTGTTTTAGACTGTATTAGATACATTTTTAGAAAGTCAAAATAACCAATATTTTTATTTACATAGCTGACTGAATTAAATATTTATTATAATAAGAAATAAGCTGCTCTTTACAGAATTTGTAATTTTTTTACAAATTATTTCATACATTTTTTTAATTAAAATACTTAAAATATTTTAATAAACAACTTTATCATAATCTAATGTTACAGATATTAAAAATAGATGAAAACATATATAAGTTTCACCTTAAGAGTATTTCAAAAACATCCTGTCAAAAATAATTTGCAATGATATTACATCAGTGTCACTAATGCCAGAATTTCCATTAACTGTAGTCTTATTTAATTATGTCACTTAATTCTATCATCAATATAAGTATAACTAATTATAAAGTGGATTCTACTGTATTTGTAAGTGACCGAAGGGAGTAAAGATGTTAAAAATATTTTACAAAAATGGAAATGTATTAAATTTCAATGAAACTTAAACCAGCAATAAATTTATTAGATTAATTTTGTTTCAGCAATAATATTTAAGCAAATTTTTGTTTTCCTGATGACTATCTACTGCTTGAATGTTTTGATAAGGCATACTAAACTCCCTGTATAACTCCCAACATATGAAAAGCAGTCTCATGATGTAAAGAACTGGATCTTAAAATTAGTCATTGTATGATTTGATGATAGCATCTTATATATGTTTAAATATTAAATAATGGGTTTTAATAGGACAGGGAGGTTTTCATATAACTAAAACATAGACTATATACTGTAGTACAGCGGTCCCCAACCTTTTGTTCGCTGCGGACTGGCCAACGTTTGATAATTTTACTGGGCCCACTGAGGGGCACGTTGATTGTTTATATTTTAGATTAATTTAATTTAATTATTTTAATTTAATTGTATTTAAAAATGCCTTCAAAGTAATATACAGTTACACCAAAAAATGAACATAATGTGATTTAAAATTTTAACTCACTAGAACGCTAAATCAATGAGAACTCTGAGCTTGTTTCTTTGCAACAAGACTGTTCCATCTGGGGGTAATAGGAGACAATGACACCCAAAGTGTGTTTCTTATGTCCAGTTTATTCTGTTGTTCCATCGTCCATTAAAAGTCGCACAAATCCGAGGAAATACCATAGTAAATAAAATGGAAATAATTTAATGTTCCTTGGGCGGCCTGGTACCATTTGATCCACGGACCGGTACCGGTCCGCGGCCCGGGGGTTGGGGACCACTGCTGTAGTATATTCTTTAATTGCACTAGTATTTGTGATACAAACTGACAAATTCTTTTTTAAATTTAAGTCATAAGAGCTGATTGGAAGAAATGCTAAAAAAAATTTGCATCCTGAAATTCAAGATTTTGAACCATACTTTCCATTAGCTGGATCATTATATATAAGATTATAAAGAATTTGGTTATTTTTGTGCTGAAACAATACATATTTTTAATTTTTTACTAATGATGGCTTTGTTCATTCACCTTAAGAATTTTGCCTCTTCCCGATTATAAACTATTCATAACAAAATTTCTGTGACAATTCTCAGTAGTACCTTTCTATTTCATTCTTTCTTTGTGAGCTTAAAATTGTAACACATCTTCCATAAGTAATAAAAAAAATATTGCTTTTATTAAATTATATATATATATATATATATATATATACTGTATTTGTGAATTTTTTTAGTTTGGTGTAAAGATTAATGAAGCAAAAACAATTTTTTTTCTAGATAGATGAAATTTGATAGTTTGGGTATTAAAAACTAAGTAGATGATTTTACACCGTGATTGTTACCTGATAATAGTGGTGCCTANATATATATATACTGTATTTGTGAATTTTTTTAGTTTGGTGTAAAGATTAATGAAGCAAAAACAATTTTTTTTCTAGATAGATGAAATTTGATAGTTTGGGTATTAAAAACTAAGTAGATGATTTTACACCGTGATTGTTACCTGATAATAGTGGTGCCTACAGACTATGAAAAAGGGGCCACAAGCTATAAAAAAAAAAAGGGCATTGTACATTATGCAAGGTGCTTCAAACTCTGATTCAACATTGGATCAGTGCTCCTACAAGGAGGTGCTGGTTACACTTGGGCTAACTTGGCCTTGAAAACAAGGAATTGTGTTTGGTCAACATACGTTGAAGTTGCATAGGTCAATGGGCAAATATTTTCTGTTTGGGGCCCCCTTGAGGATTAAGAAAAGGCCAACTGAGATGAAAAGGGGAGCATGTGCCCCAATGTATGGTACCATTGTATGCTAATGATGATATAAATGTTTACCTAGATATATGGTATGACAATATATTTATTCCTTTAGGGCCTAAACATGCATTTAAATATATTTTTTTATTTCTGTTGTAATTTAAATTACTTGAACATTTGAAATGATATGACAATTTCCAACCAAAAAAGTAAAAATAAAACTTTAGAATGAAACATTATAACAAGTTTGAGAAAAATTACAATAGAAAATAATCCAAAAGGGGAAAAAATATGAGATAGGACAAAGCAGGGGAAAAGACTGAAAATGATAATGACAACTTAACCCAATTTCTACTTACGATGCTAATTTTGACTCCCAGTATCTAAGTGTGAAAATAAGTGTGCTAACTGGTTAAATTTCTGAATGTTTAAGATTTATTAATATTAAACTAACAATGGAAAAATTTAAATGCATAATTAATTATATATAAATAAATACAAGCACATTTTTGCTTTTATGAAATTGTTTTAAGTCAATGATCTCTCTCAAAGGAACGTTTCAATAAAATTATAGTATTAAATGGAAGTAAAGAACAATTTTGATTAAAAAATATATTTAAATCTTTCAGAATTTAAGTTCCGTAAACTATTTTTGGATTTTTTATACAAAATTAAATATTTTTAGTATTGCATCTGTTTATCTATTTTCCAAATGTTTCTAATTTAATTTTCTAAATAATAATACTGATTAGAAATAAATAGATGCAAATTAAATGCGTGTTTAGGAAATTTTGTTCAAATTAGAATTTGGTAACTTATTAAATCTGAAATAAAGCTAAAAAATAAATTTGATTTTGTTTTTAGATTTACTAATGAATTTTAATCACTCAGTTAAGAATAATAGATAGATCTTTCATTCGTAGTAAGCTATTCTTCCATTGAATGAATTTAACATTTTATTCATTCAAGAATGAACTTTAAATTTGATTATAGGCAGACCCAAACTTTCCAGACATAATGTGTTTCTAAAAATGTGTAGAAAAGTCCAATAATAAAATTGCATGTTATAAAAGGAGTTTTATTTCCAAAGTACCAAAAAGAAAAATTATAAACTTATATTAAGGTAATAAAATAATGCTTTACTTTTTTACACCTTACAATGCACACAAATTATTTAAAACAATAAAATCATAGATTAAACAGAAAACAGATGTCGTCAAAATCACTTATGAAAATTATCATTGGAACCAAAACTTGCAGAAAGTGTCATTGCAAGATAGCCAACAAATAAGTTTCAAGCTGAAATTCTACAAAAGTCCAAATTTAGCACACACAAAGCTATTTAGAGATATCAAAGTGTCATGTATGAAAGAGCAATTTGTCCAAAAGTCAAGGACTGCCTGTATTTAGTTTTAATTTTTTTTTTTTTTTTTTTTTTCAGTACCATTCAATATAGACATTCCTAATAAGACTTTTCTAGAAGAATAATAATAATTTTATTTTCATTTAAATCAAAATTTAAGTAATTTTATAGTATCAGAAAATATATAATAATATTGATAATAATACTGTAAAGTTGGAAAGAGTAATATTTTAAATTTTGATAGCTTTAACTTAAATATTTTGATAGCTAAAACTAATTAACACTTATGGTTTAAACAGTGAAATTTGCATTGTTTATCCAAAAAACAGTTTTTACCTCTCTATCTGTGTCTTTCAGATCTACTTGATTAAGCAATCTAGTGTGGCTATAAATCCTTGTGTGTATCCTGGATTAATTGTTAAACATTTTTGATAGGTCTTCAGCATGAACACCAGAGAGTACATAATAGGAAAAAGATTGAGTGTTTTTCTCCAAGAGAATTAAATGATCATGAACCAATTGAATGTGAAGAAAATTTAGAAATTCTCAATCTTACAACAAATGAAGACATTAAGAACAGTCATCAGGAATTTATGACTTATGTATCAACATGAAAAAGGAAATCCAGAACAACTCAGGAAAAAAAATCAATTTTTCAGAGAATCCAATTAGCAAGCATAAGGACTTTGCAACCACATTAATCCTTTATTTTTATAAATGTGATACTATTTATGGAATCTCAACTTTAAAAAATTGTAGCTATTAATTACATATAAGCTATTGTCATATTCATGTGTAATGTTTTACTATAATAACTTAAAAATAAAACAAATGTTTTGGTTCTTTTAGTATTGTTTTTATAGTTAAAATTATTAGTAATCAAACATTTAAAAATTCTTTGGTCATATGTTTTTTTTTTAGATAAGTGATATAATTTATTAAATATGAAAATTATCATTGGAACCAAAACTTGCAGAAAGTGTCATTGCAAGATAGCCAACAAATAAGTTTCAAGCTGAAATTCTACAAAAGTCCAAATTTAGCACACACAAAGCTATTTAGAGATATCAAAGTGTCATGTATGAAAGAGCAATTTGTCCAAAAGTCAAGGACTGCCTGTATTTAGTTTTAATTTTTTTTTTTTTTTTTTTTTTCAGTACCATTCAATATAGACATTCCTAATAAGACTTTTCTAGAAGAATAATAATAATTTTATTTTCATTTAAATCAAAATTTAAGTAATTTTTTTCTGTTTTTGATGTCTTAGAAATGTGCACAAATATTTCAATAACTTATTGTGATATTGAACCAAAATAATATCTTTGTGAACTGATACTCATCTTTCTATTGCAGAAATTTAATGATCTCTACTATTTAACGATTACTGTAGAAAGACAAACTGCTACAAGTGACATTGAAAAAAATGAGTAAGTAAATTCTATTTTATTTTGAATTATATTAAAATTAATTTTTAAAAAAATTCACATTTTAAATAATTTAAAATAACAAAATCATCATTATAACAATTAAAATCATATAAATTAAGTGTTACCATTTACATTAAAATATAAAATATTACAAAATTTGACAATTTAATGTAAATGTCAAATTTAAGTATTAACAATAACACAACTTAAAGGTATCACATGAGAATATTTTTGCACTTTAATGATAAAATAATGTTAAATTCAAAGTACGAAATTATCTTAACACTTCATTTTTTGTTATTCTGCTTTGAGCTTCTGTATGAATAATCAAGTTATGATTTATATGATGAAAATTAAGATTATGAAAGATTCAATTACACAGATATAACTATTTAGAACAAGTCAGTTGAAAATGAATTACAATTTAAGTGTATAAATTCTTTTGACAGCAAAGATATCATTGCATTATTTTTTTTTTTTTTATAAATTCTAATAAATAATGACAATGAATAATTATCAGTCTTGTAATTCTGATAAGAAACTTCCGTATCAGAATAGATATGTTATTATTTATCTAAATTGAATTATTACAAATACATATACATTACTTGAGGAAAAAACTAATTAATATTTTCATCATTAAAAGTTAAAATTTAATACTTCTAGATTACAAAAATTAAAAATGTTATATGCATTATTGATTTGTGCCATCTTACATCTTACTCTTATTCCAAAATTGAATCTTGGAACTTTTTTCAGATAAAAATATTCAATATTTTAAAAGTTTTATTAATAACAAAACAGAAAATTAGCATTATAGGCTAACTTACAAAATATTAACTAATATCACAATGTTTAATTTAAACATTTTAAGATTTTGTATTTATACATTAATTATAGTACAATAGTACAAAATATATCTAATAAGTTTTATTAATTTTAGTATATTTAGAGTATAATGAGCTAATTGATAAGATAATAAGTCTGACTTAATGAAAAATTATGTTCAAGTTTTTGTTTTAAATGAAAAGATGTAGGATATAATCTTTGATAAAAAAAATTATTATTATTAGTTTACTTGATTTATTCATCTGAAAATCTATAATTTTGAATACTCTTCCTTTTTATTTTTTTCCAGTTATGGAATTTTAATAAGTAAATTAAGCAAGTTATAAGCAGTTATGAATTCTATATTTATATATTATTCAAAAACAATTTTTAACTTCAGTGAGTTAAATTTTATGAACTATTAAAATTAAATTAGTAACTGAAAGCTTCTTTTAAATATCTTAATATTTGTTCATTGTTTATATATAGTTTATTATACGTTAGCATTCTTTAATACAGTCGATCCCCCCATAACACAGTAGATACATTCCAGTTTTTATGAATCCATTTTCTACGAGTCCAGCCAATCACAGCCAGGCACATATGCAGTTTATGGACTGCGCCTGTTTGAAAGGTTTCTTCCATAAAATTAATCGATTCTAGACTAATTTGACTCAACATTTCCAAAATACATATAATTTTTTGGGAATAATCCATATAAACTATGCTATAAACAAAAAATTGTAGGATTACTTACCGAGTGTGCACCGTTCGACTACGCCATTGCTTAAGCTTGTTTTCATCGTGGAGCTTGTCATCGAATGGCGCTCGCGTGATTCCTGATAAATTATTTTTTTTGCGAAAAATTTGCTGAACTTTGGAGACATCATTAATATAAATATAATTTTTATGGACGTTAAATAATAAATGGTTTTTAGTAGGTCCACTGCTCATTTAAACTCAACGGTTTGTGCAATATCCGCTATTGGTCTAGATTCGACCAATCCTGTTGCGACACAAGTCCGCGATGACGTTTTACCGAATTATAGGAGTTTTTTAGCATGTTTGCACAAATACTGTTGCAAATTTTTTGCCGTGATACAGGAATCCGAACTATAGGAACCCATGTTATCGGGGGTCAACTGTACGATGAGATGATTTAAAAATTTTTTACAATGATAGAACAATTTATCAAACCATGTATTAATACATTATGTTCCAAACTGTTTTAAATTGAAAACTGATTTTTCTGTATGTTGCTTAATATAATTGTTTTATTATTTAAAACAATGATACTAACATAAATTTTCTTTTTTTTTAGCAAAATCTTATATAACACGTCATCAGGATAAATTTGTTAACTCTTGATGACAAGCATATTACATCCTAAAATTGCTCAAATTTTCTAGTAAGTTTTCACTCCAAGGAAAACAGTTAAATTAATTTATTTAAAGAGTTTATGTAAAAAGTATGATTAATTTTTTTAATACAAACTTTGTTGAATAGAAGCATTAACTTTAACCAGTTGTAAACTAGTTTACAACTTACTGTCATACCACTATTTTCTAATTAAACGTTTTTTAGTCCTATTTTCTAATTAAACGTTTTTTAAATCCTTATTGATGTGTATGTTTGTAGATTAATTCACTAAACGTTTACTACAATCTCTAGAGATCTCATTCAACTTACAAGTTAGTACAATTGTCAAAATCCATTCTGTTGTAAATCTGAATGCTTACCAAATAACTTGGATAGAAAATTGTTTTTTGTAGCATTCTAACACTACTTATCTAAAAAAGTCTAACTCTGAAAAAAGTTTTTAATAATTAAATCTGAATTATTGAAATTATTAAAGATGTGTGTTTTTTGACTTTGGTATAATGCTAGGTTTAGGGAGGAGCTTTGTAAAAATCTTTTCTTTGATAATTATTTATTATTATTTCTTCTTGTTAGATTGTCAGAATATAAATACTTTACCAAGGAAAAGGATGAATTAAATGGTTCAAGATTTTTATTACTACACCTTGTAATTTCCAACTATTTATGTTCAACTACCAATGGCATTTGAAGGAAAGTAATGAACCCTAAAAAAACTGTTTGATTCATTAGAGAAGTAAAAAAAAAAATTTAAAGTTAAGGTATTTAAAAGCCTGGGTACAGCTTGTTTCACAAATCTTGGCTGGGCTAAAAAATGCAAGTTAGCAGGGACCAATCTATTTACTTAGTGAAGGGAATGGATTGACAAATCTTTGATGAAGTCTGTATGTTACCAAAAGAGGGACTTGACCTTTTTAAAACTTCCAAAGCCCCAACCAAGTGTTGCACATTACCTGGCCAATACGTGAAACAATCTGTACTTTGAGAATGTTTAGATATCCATTTAATTCACATGCAGAGTTAATAAGCCACATCTCTGTCATTTTAAAGAATTAAACATGATATATATTTAAGATTACAAAAGTAATATTGCTTTATATAAAACTTGCTGTCAAATTTTATTTTTAATATGACACTTAGATTTTAAAAAATTGTACAAATAAATACTTAACATATATATAAATTATATATATATGTAATAATTGTATAAATTATACAGGGTGTCCATAAAGTCTGTGTGCAATTTTAAAAATTTATAACTTTTACAGATTTTTTTTTCTATCACAATTACTAATAAAGTATTAGAAAGCTTAATGTACTGTACTGTACTGTACTGTACTGTACCTAGTTTTAAGTAAAATTAGGATTGGAAGAGGTTTACCATTTTCTTGGCCTCCACATTCACCAGACTTCATTAATTTTATGGGACACGTGAAAACCTCATTGTATGTAACCAAACCTCAATCATTAGAACACTTGAAAGCTAAATAACTAATGTGATTTCAGGCATTATTGTAAATCAATTGGCAAATGTTTTTAGAGAACTACAAAATCGTATTACCCTTTGTATTACTAATGATAGAGGACATATGGAAACTTAAAATACAATAAAACAAAAAAATATAGTTGTGGCGTAGTAAACACTAGTATTGTGTTTTATTCCAAAGACACATGGCAAATTTTCCATCAAATTCCTTTATTAGTTGACTTTAGTAGTTGATATCAAATTCCTTTATTAGTCAACTAATAAAGGAATTTGATGGAAAATTTGCCATGTGTCTTTGGAATAAAACACAATACTAGTGTTTACTACGCCACAACTATATTTTTTTGTTTTATTGTATTTTAAGTTTCCATATGTCCTCTATCATTAGTAATACAAAGGGTAATACGATTTTGTAGTTCTCTAAAAACATTTGCCAATTGATTTACAATAATGCCTGAAATCACATTAGTTATTTAGCTTTCAAGTGTTCTAATGATTGAGGTTTGGTTACATACAATGAGGTTTTCACGTGTCCCATAAAATTAATGAAGTCTGGTGAATGTGGAGGCCAAGAAAATGGTAAACCTCTTCCAATCCTAATTTTACTTAAAACTAGGTACAGTACAGTACAGTACAGTACAGTACATTAAGCTTTCTAATACTTTATTAGTAATTGTGATAGAAAAAAAAATCTGTAAAAGTTATAAATTTTTAAAATTGCACACAGACTTTATGGACACCCTGTATAATTTATACAATTATTACATATATATATAATTTATATATATGTTAAGTATTTATTTGTACAATTTTTTAAAATCTAAGTGTCATATTAAAAATAAAATTTGACAGCAAGTTTTATATAAAGCAATATTACTTTTGTAATCTTAAATATATATCATGTTTAATTCTTTAAAATGACAGAGATGTGGCTTATTAACTCTGCATGTGAATTAAATGGATATCTAAACATTCTCAAAGTACAGATTGTTTCACGTATTGGCCAGGTAATGTGCAACACTTGGTTGGGGCTTTGGAAGTTTTAAAAAGGTCAAGTCCCTCTTTTGGTAACATACAGACTTCATCAAAGATTTGTCAATCCATTCCCTTCACTAAGTAAATAGATTGGTCCCTGCTAACTTGCATTTTTTAGCCCAGCCAAGATTTGTGAAACAAGCTGTACCCAGGCTTTTAAATACCTTAACTTTAAATTTTTTTTTTTACTTCTCTAATGAATCAAACAGTTTTTTTAGGGTTCATTACTTTCCTTCAAATGCCATTGGTAGTTGAACATAAATAGTTGGAAATT